TCTGTATTAAAAGAACATGAAATTCTGTATTCAATGATTTTTTATTTTATTTTATTTTTTTCCTGCACTAAAGGGACATTTGAACTGAATTAATATGGACTAATTCCCAAAGATTTAATAAGACCGCATACTCAGCTGACATACATTGCTGTCTGATTTGCATTTTAACAGGTTATTCCTTGTAATTAAATGTAATTGTTAAAAGTGTTGTGAGATTCCATGATATTACTTGATTGGTAATTGAGATATCAACAACAGTAATGTTCAAGGATTTTCAGTATATACTTCATTGATTTTCTGTACTACTGCTATTATCTTTTCTTTTGAAAATAATATATTCATAAACTCCTTCATAACTAATTTTATTAGTTTTATGAACTGTTAAAGTGGGCTATCTTGCAGTCTATCTTTAATATCAATGCATATGTTCCCCAAAACTTTATACATGGATATAGTATCTATGCTAAATATTACATAAAAAATTATTATGAAATGTTTAGTAAAAGGTAAAGTCTTTTGCATATAAGTTCATTGTTTTTATTGATTAAAAATTGTTAAATTTAAATCTAAATTTCCTGGCTGACATCATTCAAATCTGCTCAGGTTACTTGAAAAATTAAATATTCTATATTGTCAATTTATTACCATTCATAGTGTTCTTTGACTGTCTGAAACATTATGCAGGGCAGAATTCATAAACAACCTCTCTTGGAATAAAAGAAATTAAAGTAATTTAGTACTCATTTCTCATTTAATTTATATCTATACTTAGCAAATCCAGACTAACAGTAGGATCATTTCAATTTATAGCATGTGTAATCAGGATTAAGCCTTTAGGCTTTGTGTTAGTGAAAGCAGACATGCTTGTATTCTTATGTTATGTTATCAAAAATGCGTTGGTACAATTCCCAGGCTTTAATAATCATTTTGTGTGTGTGTTTTTCCTGTTATCTGAGAAATTTCTTGCACTTTAATGTTCTGCTAGTAGTTATTGGTATGACTTTTCAGATAATATCTGAAACGATATCTCAATCCCATGCATATAATCACTATGTATTTTGTAAAGATCTATGCTCAATTGTTGAATTGCTCTTCTGAGGTTACATCCGTCTTTCCTAAAATCCTTCCGTTTTCCTACTTCAGGTATCATTGCTGTCATTAACACTCTATATCACTTAAGGGTAACTCAGGCAAAGAAAACACAACAGTTATTCCTCTCACTTTCCTTTGTTTTCTCTAACAGGATTATAAAAAACTCAAAACTATACAAGAAAAAGCAGTTTCTTTACTACCTTACTGCCTATTGTTTCATTTTAGTGTCGTGAATAGGGTCCTAAACAGCTGTAAATAACACACAAGAAAGGGGTCTGTATCAAAGTATGAGAGACTTAACAGTTGTTAAGTCCTGAGCTAACATACATACTAAATTATAGGCCAGACTTCTATTCCAGTTTTGCTGTTGGTGCTCTCACAGCAAAGACCAGTTAGCCTGTGTGTGCACCTCTAATTTTGGTGGCTGACCAAAAAATTCCAACCTGTCATTAAGATCTAAAAAAGAAAATCATAATCACCAAGGAATAAAATCCTGTAGTTGTTTTAGAATTATAAATATGAAATAAATATAAAAACACACGATCAAATATGATTTAACTATGTTCTAGCAAATTAGATAGCATTTAAACATGACCAGAGACAAGTTCATTTTAATTTCCAATAGCAAGACTGAAAGATCAGTTTACAATTTGGTAAAATAAAATTTAGGATGAAGATGTATTGCCAAAGAATTGAGTACTTCACTTGCTATGGGGATTAATAGTATACTTAAAAATTGGAACTTTTTTTTTTTCTTTTCTTTTCTTTTTTTTTTTGGTAAATATTGCTTAAGCAAGGTTTGCACATACCTTCTTTAATAAGTGAGAGATTGACCAGTGTTTAGTAATGAAAAATATTACTATTACTGTTTTGTCATACTCAAGGCCTTAATAAAAATATTAATGTTAAATGACTTTTCTTACTTGTTTTTCTGTGCACATTGTTCAACAGAAGTTGGGATTTGTTCCTAGAAAACTCATTTTTCTCAAATATTATATATATATTAAAATTACTTGTCATTTTAATGGGGAGTTTGCAAATATTGAAATTTATGAGTTTTCTATATTTTTGTGTATATTGATTTTCTTTTCTTTTAAAATTCCTTGATACCTGCTCTCTTAATAGTGAATTCATCTAAAAATCTTCTTCCTCTTTCCTATAGAGATTTTCTACTTTCTTGTAGAAAAAAAAAAAAAATAATAATAATAAATAGGTGGAAGATTTAAAATAGAAATATATTGTCTGGGTTGTTTAACCTTGAAAAAGCTATGAAACAAGGAATTTGTTAAAATGCACTTCCCTCTCCTTTCCAAACTATTCCTTGTACATTTCCTTCTCCTTTGCATACTACATATATACATGTACATGTATACATGTACACTCTTTTTCAAGAGTGAATGAAGGTAATTTGCTTGTTCTTTTCAAGGTAATTCTGAGTACTGTTTCATTGATGATAAACTGGGGAATACCACAGACAGAATTTGCTTTATTATGTGATTAGCTTACTTCAACTCAATTGTGTATTAAAATAATTATTGATTAGCTGGGTTTTAATTTGCAGGTTATAATTCCTTATCTTGTTAGATTTCATTTTCAGTATTTCCCTTCCATTCTTTTACAAAAGTTTCTAATTTTATTTATTTTTTGTCTGTTGGTAAACTTAATGCTCACTAATTCACATTTGAACATTCCTAACATGAATAATCTGATGTCTGCAAGTGTATTTCTTCAGTCATATGATTCCTGAAATGATTCCTGACTGAGCATAGGTTTAATAAAATATTTTAAATTAATTTGAAAAAGATTGTAGCCAGAGATCAAGGGCTCACCATTCTCAATAAAATAAAATGAAACAAAATAAAAACAAACAAACAAGTGAACTGCTAAACTGAACTGACTGCTAAAACTGATGTTTTTGACAGACTTTCAAGTATATGCTTGCACATAAAAAAGTGTTTGCATCTCAGATAAACAAGTAATCTATCTTAATGCATCATGGCAATTAAATAAGTATAAATGTTTGCTGTACTTAAGTAGATATTTTCCAAATGTACAGAAACCATTTAATTGAAGAAGGTGTCTGAAGAATAAAAGCAAAGTACTAAATGTATCAAAGACAACATCTTAATAAAAAAAAATAGAACTGCAGGATGTCTTGATTTACACTAAACAGCATTCAGTAAACTGTCTTGTAAGGCATGTGATGTGTTATAATCCATAGACTTTCAATCTCAATAAGGAGTAAGGTAAAATTCTTTTGACCTTCAAGTTCAGGTTTTCTGAACGTATTCAAATAAGAAAGTGACCAGGGCTTTGCTAACCAAGAGATAAGGAAATAGAGTGGTATAGAAAATAATAACCTTCTTCCTATTTCCCACTTCCAACCACCCAGCCACTGCTATAAGGTGGAGAATAAAACATTCTCAGTTCTTTTAATTCCATTATCATGGGATCCCAAAGGGAGATAGTTGAATGAGTCTCCAATTTTTCTCCTAGTCTCAGCTTATTGCTTTTGAAACCCATCGTTCTGTGGTACTAAAACCTCCCTGTCATGTGTGAGTTCCTCTCCTCACATTATCCTTTCCCTGCCTCAAATAATGCTCCAAACACAACCCATTATTTAAGGAAGATATGCTCTCCAGGGAAGAGGCCACAGCACCAAGCTGCATTTAAGATGCATTCAAGCTGCATTCAAGATGCATTTAAGCAATGCTCTCAGACATCCAATTTGATTTGTGGGTGGTCCTGTGTGGAACCAGGAGCTGGACTTGATGATTCTTGTGAGTCTCTTCCAATTCAGGATATTCAATGGTTCTGTGATTCTAAGGTGATATCTCATAAAATCCTAAATGTTTTTTGAATTCAGGCTATCCAGTACTACATTATTACCAATGAGAAAACTTTTCAAAGAATAAGATGATGGCTAATCTATTATATTTTTTCTTATGGTTCTGAGAATCAAATTTTCAGGCAGTGTAATTTCTTATAATTTTTTTTACTTCAATATGACATGGAACAGTGTTGAACTACAGTCAAATCTCTAGAGAATATTGTAGAAAACAAGAAAGAAATCAGTGAAATGCAAATGGTTTGTTTATAACATGAAACTTACACCATGCAGTATCAAATATTTTGAAATATTTTGAAATAATTTAACCTTTTGCTGTTTATACAACTCTTCCTCAAGAGAAAAAAACAATTGAAAATACTTCTAGATGAAAATTTTCAACCAACTGCAAAAGCCATACTTTTTATTGCTCTTACTTTAGAAGGTTTTCCTTTAAATTTAGCAACAGTCATTCTCCATTCCACATAGAAGATTCAAGTTAAATGAGAAAACTATTATCTGTCATCAACCGTGATGAAAAGCAAATGACAAATTGGAGGTGAAAAGTTACGTTTGCTAGAGCTATTACAGTTTTTCTAATCTAAAGTGCTCCTACTCCACTGCTTGTAGAAATTCCTCCTAATATTGCTGTCTCTTGGAATTCAATAACATACAGAGAGAGGAAAAGGGTCATCCAATGATTAACAAAAGCTCCAACATAACTTGCTGATCAGATCAGTGTATTTCATATTTGTGCACAGATTTCATCTCACAGTGTGGTACACTTCCACAATTAAAATCAATATAAAAGTTTTCTATGTATTTTTGCTTTATGTGTGTCAAATGACTTGGTTATGACATTATTCAACACTCTTAAATATAAAAAAAATCAAAAAATTGGTAACCCTACTGTGTTACTCTAATTTTCTAGGCATAGTTATGTATTCAGAATAAGAGTAGTGTAGCACTGTGGTGAATCAGAAACCATAGATCAGTGGCAGAGCAAAGTAAATAAGAAACTAAGATAATGAGATACATACAAGTCAATAGAAACTAGGACTTCTACAAGTGTTTTTTTTTGTTTGTTTGTTTGTTTGTTTGTTTTTAATGCTAGAGATTTAAAGTAATCTGTGTTGAATTGCTGAAGTTAAAAATCCACTATGGCCATTTATGGCCATTTATGACCATGCAACCTTGGGCTCTCGTCTATGAAGATTATAAAACTGGAGAACCTCTAGGATGAGACTTTGAATGGATAACTGACTGAAAATAATCTGACTGCTGAAGTGTTTTTTCATTGAGGACTTTGAGTGTATGGGGTTCCTGCAGAAATTATGCAAAATAAGGTATAAGGAATTTTTTATACGTTCTTTCTCACATAGTGGATGTGTCTAAACAGAATGTAAGGGCAAGAGGTAGTTCGTTTCAGCAATCTGTGTTGCACTGAGATAAAGAATAATTACAGCATGACTGCATGACTAGGCATATTTGAACTGGCTAAAAGATAAAACATCTTGGACTGCATCCAGTGATGTTGTAGTAGAGCAGATTTCAATGAAGGTCAAGTGAAACAATAACAAGTGACCCTTTTAACAACATGACTGCAGAACTAGATAGAAATTACCTGGAGGCTTACATTTCCAGCATGTAGTTTCCATACAGTATCTTCATATTTTATGATACACCACAAAGAGCCAATCAAGGTTCACAAGGGTCTGTTCAATCAAAGTTCACAAGCGGCTGTTTTAATACACAACACGAAGTATGCCCGGCATTTGGAAACATTAGAATTGCATTTTTTGTTTGTGGAGAGAAGTTAGCCTGAGGCAAAATTCCTATTAAGTTCTCTCCACAGCACTACACCCACAATGAAAACCCTAACTAGAAGTATAAGAAGTGGTGTTTTGTTTTGTTTTTTTTTTCTTCCCCTCCCCCCCCATCAAAGACTTCATATTCCACAGCTTATTCTAACTGAACACAAAATGTAGTCATTTACACTATATTTTTGAATGACACCATTTGTCAAAACAACTTCCTTTTCCTAATTACCACATTTCATTGCGATACCTTAAGTCATCTTTTCCAGAGAAACAATGTCTCTCAATCTTGAATGATATTTTTTGACCACAATACTTAAAATTAAGTTTAGAAATGCAGAGTTGCTCCAGCCACACTGTAGATGAATCCCCCATGCACTTACAGGTAGGTTTCTATGCATACATTTTCAATCCAAATTTTTTGAAATATTACGAAGCTGTTTTCCTCTTCTCCAAGTATCTACGACACAATTAAATGACCAGAAATGAAGCCTGCCAGGATTGCTTTAAAGTTGTAGTTTCTTTAGGATTTTTTACAAGGAATTTTTCCTGGAAAGATGTAGACCGTACCTTTGTGACAGAGGAAGCTCAGTATTTTGTTTCAAATGAGAGACAGAATGCAAACAAACAAGAGCAGGGGCTGGTGATCAATCAATAAATCAGAAATCTCTTTGGCAATGTAGTCATACCCAAAGACATTGTTTCTGATGTTTCTTATTGATGGTTCTGATTATTTCTGATATTCCCAAGCTGAATTTAATTTCATATGAGATTAATATATCTTAGTTAAGTTAGTTCTTATACAGTTTTTACTAGACAAATCGATGGGGGGGGGGTGGGAACGGGAGACGGGGGTGCAGAGGGAGTATGTCTAGGTTTATTATTTTCTTCTTGAAAATGTGAATAAGAACTGACATTTCTTCTAAATACACATTTGGGTTTTGAACACAAGAAAAGAAAAAATACAAATAACTTTTCTTAAAGGTAGTGTGTGTGTTTTTTTATTTTGTCTATTTTGGAGAATTTTGTCATGGGTGGTTAGGAAAAAAAAAGTTTTCATCGAGCTTTTGGAGAAAAAAAGATGGAAAAACAGATCAGTAAAATGAAATAAAGTGGATGACCAGCTTTCTATGAAGCTGATTTCATTATTTTTTTTTTCCTGAAAACCTTAAAAGAATTAAAAAAAATAATATTATGTACTCAACAATTTTTTGAACAGAGTTTTGAAATCAACAAGATACATTTGAAAACAACAGAATGATATAAATTAGTTTCTGTCAGGAAAGAGTGAATAAATAGAGTCTATTAACTTCAAGAAGTTTAGAAATAAGCAAATTATGACAGGTACAAGGAACAAAAGGGAATATAGCTTTATTGTAGAGAAAAGCTGAGTGAAAAGTCACAGGGCAATGCAATCATGCATTTTCACACAGAGTAAATAGAAGAAACAATAAAACTCAGCTTTGAGAGCAGATAGCTGAAACAATGAAAATCAGCACACTCCAAATATGTAGAGAGGTGTGAGAGGAAACGAAGTAATGTGGACTAAACACTGATATAAAAATGTGATAGCTAAGGCACTATTTAAGTTTTTTTTTTTTTTTTTTGTACAGATATTCTCATCTCAGTTGGATTAGTTTTGTTAGTGCATCTTTCAAAGGAATTGCTAAGAGAATTGCTAATTCAGAATAAAGTGCTGATCAAAAGAAGTATGGGATTGAGAGCAAAAATACAAATACTCAAATTCTAAGGAAAATGGTGCATACATGCAGCTCTTGCAGATATGGTCAGTGGTTTTGCTGAAGTCCTTGTTTCCGTTCTCAGGTTTTCCATCTGCTAGAAAAGGTGAAAAAGGCTTAAATATATAAACACATATATATTTATAATATTTTTATTTATTTATTTATTTATTTATTTATTATAGTACTGAGAACTGGTTAACTGTTTAGTTCCAAAGTAGAAAAAGTATTAAAGGAGAAAAGATAGAGGAAATGATCTCAACAGTGGAGATTATTGGAAGCCAGCAGAAGGAACATGCAGAAATAGCAACTACGCATTATCATTAACAATTGTCTGTAATGGCACTGTGTTCTGACACAATCTCAAAGACTCTGAAATGTTTTGTGAACTTGTGTTCATCAGATCTACTGGTATTGCTGTAACAGCAGACATTTCATGACATTATGCTTTCCCTTTGTGTTTTCTGTAGAATCATGAATATTAGACAAAATTTAGTGCAGGAAGGAAATTTATTTTATTCCTACAAGAAAAGATGTCTTGTAGAAATACAGTTATACAGAAATACGAATATGACTGAATTTCCCTGGAGGTTGCATCAATATTTTTACATTCTAGATATTATTTAAACTTGTTAAATTATCAACTAGGAATTGATCACGTTTACATAAAGCATATGTTAACCATAACTAAGGCAGAATAACAAGTACAATACCAAAATGCAAGACATTTCATTTTGTATTATGCACAAGAACAAAGAGCAGATGAATGGGAAAAAAAAAAAAAAAAGTAATGCAGATATTTATTAATGACTTCAACATATTGACAGCTAGAAATGAGCAGCTTTATGCTGAACTAGTATTTTCCTTACAGTGTAGAACTGTCTCATGACCTTCATCCTTCTTTACTTTAACTATTCCAATTCAATGGTACTTCATCAAGCAAAAAACCTCAGCATCAGGACATTGGTTTGGAGGCATTCTCAATGATCCATTTTTCTTCCTGCGTGAGAACCAGCAGCACATGGGATGTGAGGTTAGCATGAAAACTGAAACAATAATGAGAAACAAAAAATGTATATTTGCGTTACAAAAAATATGCCACAACTACTCGGCTAAAACTAAAAGAAAAGGAATGCTTACTATCTCCTGTTTTCATCTAAGGCCAAAAAAGATGTTTCAAAAAAAAAGCATTAAAGGCCAACGCCTTCCCCTACTTCCCTACTTTTGTTAGAAAAGCTCAATTGCACCTCCTTGTGGTGTAAAAAAAGAAAATAAAACTGATCAGTCTGACATGGCTTTTTATTTCTAAATTGAGACACTGAAGGCAATTCTTATTGGATACACTCTAGAGATTTGACAAGAAAAAAGCCCAAAATACAGAGATATTCAGAGATATATTTGTTATTCTCTATCTGTATATCAAATCCCGAAGCAGATTATTGCAAAAATTACAATAAATAGGGGTCTGTAATTTCTCAGTTGTTTGCACAGGAATCTTACTATAGAAGGACTTTTTCTGAACAGTGTCAATGCATCAAAATCAACAATCAAATATTGTCACTATTGCATAAAATTATGACCCACAAGTAGGTCATAAACCTAATCCTGCCTTATATTGACACATTTCAAAGGCACAATATTAACAGTGGTTTTCTGTTTTGTTTTGTTTTCTTATATTTTGTCGGTTTGTTGTTGTTGTTGTTTTCTTGTTTGTTTGTTTGTTTGTTTTCCCTGCTATCAAACGTTTTTCTATGGTAGACTTTTTGCTAAATGGCATTTCCATTATGCTGCCAACCACAGGGCACCTTATAGGACTTCAGGTTATATCTTGGGCTGCATACACATTCTTAGAATGTTCAAGGATCAGTTCCTAACTGTATCTTAAAGAGTATTTATTCTCTGCAGTCTAAGTTTTGCTACCCTCTCCACCCAAACTGTGGATAAAACAAAGATGCAATAAGATGTCTTCAAGCAAGTTGTTTCCTTCCCATGGAGTGCAAATCCTAAGCAATATTTGGCGAATCAAGTATGTTTTGCTAAACATGCTCCTTTGGAGTTGTATCTTTTAAATGGAGGTCACTTTGGGAAACTAAACATAAAAACTCAGCAAATATAAATATAAATAATATAAATATAAATATATAAAGAAGAAAGAAGGGGTCAACAACATCAACAGAAAATACAAAATAAAACAACAAAAATAACAAAAAACAAGACACTTTAGTTTCTCTAAAGAGAGATTTAACTACAGCAAAAAAGAGGAAATTTTGAATGATATTTTGAATGAGATGAGCTTTGAAGCTCATCTCATATGAGCTTTGATCTTAGACACTTCTTTAAGAAGATTATCTTCATGTCTTCATGTCTACACAAAAATATATGAAGATTTAAGATACATAATATATACTTGAGTTATCTTCTTTATGATTACTTTTTTTTTTTTTTTCCTGCTGTATGGGAATAAGCCAAGTGAAATCTATGCCTCCAACAGAATTCACATTTTCTGAAATTTATTTCAGATATTTATAGAATCTTTACTGTGTGAAGGGGAGTTAATTATTTTCAATTATTTTAATTCTTTTATTATATAGTTTATGACTGATTAATGCAGAAAGCTTTGTAAGAGGCATTAAGAAATGCCTCTGAGGATTTGTAGCTGCTTGTATAAAAGTACCGCCTCACATTTTTTTTTCTTTACTTGCTTCTACTGAATATTTATAAGATAAAGAATACAGACAACTGCCTCAAAATCTAATTTAAAAGTAGATTTCTGTGTGGACTAGGTGTTTTATCACAGCTGCTAAACATATTGATGGTTTTCAAATATAAGTATTTTATTTAGTACATCATATAAAGTGGATCATATAAAGAAAAAATAATCTTTCTGCAAGTGAATTAATGCCCTTTTTGTTATAACAGAAAATTAACTAATGCTGGCCTTATGTTGAAGATTCTGTGTTGTCTTGGATGCAGATTGTAGAGTCTTTGTCACTGGACATATTCAAAAACCAACTGCATACAGGCCAGTGCAACCTGTTTAAGCTAACCCTGCCTGGAAGGTTTGTATTAGATGATCTTCAGAAGTCACAATGATACACACTATAGATAACAAAGATTTCTATTAGTTTTTATGAACATTCTTTTTTCTTTTTTTTTTAATGTCTAAAATACTTTAAAATATATTGAAAACGATTTTTCCCCATTAGAATTGAATAATACAAATCAATTATTTAGAAAAATCTTGCATAGTCTTTCATTTTCTGTTTAGTTTGGAAAGTTTACATTGCAAGCGACTTTTCTGTCAGTTTTCACTCCTTGGCCAGAAATTTGGAAAATTAATTTCATAGAAGCATGAATTGAGCTTTGAGTTGGAAGGGATGTTAAAAATAATCTAATTCCAACCCCTGGCCATGGAAAAGGATATCTCCCACTAGACCAGGTTGCTCAAAGCCCCATCTAACCCAGCCTTAAACAATTTCCGGTTTGAGGCACCCACACCTTCTGTAAGATACTTGTTCCAGTACCTCCTCACCCTCTGCATGAAGAATGTTCTCCTAACCTCTAATCTAAATCTACACTTTCATTTTAAAATCATAACCTCTAGTTATGATTTTAGTGATGATTTAAAATCATAACCTCTAGTACCACTACGCTCTTTGAGGAAGAATATTTTAAGTAAATTCCTTAGAATTACGTTATTAAGGTATTTTCAGTAAAAATGTAACTATGTCCACAAAGCAGAGAAAGTTTACAAAGTCAAATTTCCACAAGTTAATGAGAATAAAAGACCATGTTTTCCAGAAAATAAATAAATAAATAAATAAATAAAATCTTGCAGTAAATGTTTACCTTTTATATGGCTTTTAGAATTTTGGGGAGGTCTTTTTTTTAATTTTTATATATATATATATAGTTGTATCTGACAATACTGTATTTAGTTGCATTTAGTGGAATTTCAATTTCAATCATATAATCACAATATAACTTCAAATTGAAGGCAGCTCTGGAGGCCCAGTCTAACCCTTCCCCCAGAGAGGATTTCTTAGACCCTGTCTGTTCTTAGACCCCATCTCCAAACTTGAAGCTGCACCATCTGTAGAAGTCTGTTCACTGACTACCTCATTGTGAAGTGTTGTCCTCAAATCCATTTGGATTTTCCTGTGTTTCTGCTACCTCTCATCCTCATCCTGCACATGTCAGAGTCTCATTTTTTTTCTGTGTTGTCCCATCAGACAGCTGAAGGTAACAAGAGAAACTTCCCCGAAGCTTCTCTTAGTCTCTACTCATGGGGCGGGTACTTCAGACTTTAACTACCTTTGTAGCCATACTCAGGTGAATCATAACCTGTATCATGAAAGTCACAGATTATTTATTAGACAAGAGGCCAGAGGTCAGAGGTTCTAACCAGTCATGTGTACTCCAGCAACAGGGATCTGCTACTGGCATGGAAGGATGTAGCAGCTGAACTCATCAGTCAAGAATTTCATTGCTAGGTTGCAATTTAATTATTTATTACTGTTTGTGAATAGTCAGGACTTGGCTGGGTGAGATTGCTGGCTTTTTGCCAATCTTCCTTTTATCTGAATGACATCTAGTACAATATGAATTGGGAAAGGGATGCAACTTGGTTATGACAATTAAATTTAATTTGAAACTATCTCTCATTCCAAAACTGGACTTGCTTGATCAGAGAACTTTCAAATTCGCAATACATTTCCTGAATTTGAACAGCTTGAACAAGACCTTTTGCCCTTGCTCTAAGGAATGCAGTCTCTGGAAGCCTTTTGCTTAAGGTGAAGAGTCAGAATGCCTCCGTCTCGGTCTCCCTCTCCCTCTCCTTCTCTCTCATTCCCTCCTCCTGACCCCTCCCTCCCTCCCATCTCCCAGCTTTGTTGCTTAGGTTAAAACATGAACATACAAACTCATTCAATCTCAGTGAAATTCAATCAATCAATCAATCAGTCAATCAATCAATCAAACAAACAAACAAACAAAAGAACATGCGAGGATGTGAGGGAGCCATAGCCTTTCCAGATACGGATATTACTGTGGCTAAATGTACATGGGGTGATCCTGGTAGGAACAGGCAGTGGTTTAATTGGGTGTCAATTACAATTAAGATCTACTTTATGGTTTGCAAGTTTTTGTGTGTGTGTGTGTGTATGTTTGTTTTTGGTTTTGTCTTAGACTCTAATTTCTGTGACAATCATAACAACAATCACAAAATTAATTTGTGCATAATTTTAAAATCACCACTACTTCAGTGTCAGGAGGATAAAACACCTATCTGTTCAGCCACAGAAGTATTCAGACACAGAAACTGCTTAGAAGCTAAAAGGCAACTTTCCGGCTTTCATGTCACATATGCCATGCATAGGTCTGTTGCTGCAAAGAATCCACACATATATGCAGCACTTATGTAATGCTTTGATTTTGTGTATGCCCTATATTTTTTAAACTGGTTTATTAAGCATTTAGACTAGAGATTCTTGAAAGTTGGTATTCTCTTAAATATAGAGAGGAAAAAATAAACACCCTAATAAAGCCACTTGCCATGATCGGCTCTGGGGCAGACACATTCTGCAGCAGAGCAGGGGATTGGACATGCAGGGCTATTTTTTCCGGCATCGAGCCCACATGAGGGAGCCGCCTGGACCTGGTAGCCCCCTCGAGGGAGGCTGATGAGCGCCCCCTCCCTGGCCGTTCAAAAGCTGCCCCTAGCGAGTGAGAGCAACCAGGAGCGCGGCAAACAGGGCGTGGCAGAGCAGTTCGCGCAGGCAGGGGAGAGCAGGAAGGGCAGAGTGTTCCCTCCCCCCGTCCATATGAACAACTACTCTAACGGTGGTCTACCTCTAGCTAAGCTACAATGGTCTCCACTAGGCACAGTGCTCTCTCTAGGAAGTCTGTACACATCCAGACTGACTGCCCACTCAAAAATGCAGCAGTTCATGTCTCCGGATGCAGGGAGTGCCTGAGCCTGTTGCTACCACCTGTGGGGGGCAGAGAGACTGTGTGCGTGAGGTGTGAGGAGGTGGATGACCTGGTCTGCCTGGTGGCAGAACTCAAAGAGGAGGTTGAGAGGTTGAGGGATATCAGGGAGTGTGAGCACGAGATAGACTTGTGGAGCAACTCCATGTGGGGCCTGAAGGACAGGTACTAGGGTGAGACACCCCAAATGGGGGTGGACCCCCTGCCCTGTTGCTGTCAGGCAGAGGGAGGGGACCTAGGAGTTGAGGAGGAATGGAAACAATTTCCTGCTCCACATCACAGGCGATGACCCCCCTGCCAACCCCACCTTCCCAGGTGCCCTTACGCAACAGGTTTAAGGCCCTGGAGCTCAAGAGACCGGTAGGTGAGGAAGAGGTAGAAAGTCTACCCAGGAGGATGCCTAGGGCAAGGAAGTCAACTCCACGTCTCAGGACTGCCTCCACCAAGACAGAAAGAAGGGTGATTGTTGTGGGCAACTCCCTTCTCAGGGGAACAGAGGGCCCTATTTGTCGGCCTGACCCTACCCACAGGGAAGTCTGCTGCCTCCCTGGGGCCAGGGTCAGGGACATTGCCAGAAAGCTTCCCAACCTGGTTCACCCCTCTGACTATTATCCTCTTTTAATAGTCCAGGCTGGCAGTGATGACACTGAAGAGAGAAGCTTGAAGACTATCAAATGGGACTTTAGGGAACTGGGACAGTAAGTGGATGGAGCGGGAGTACAGGTGGTGTTTTTGTCTATCACTATGGAGGCAGGGAGGAGTACAGAGAGGACATGGAAAGCCCACCTGATAAACACGTGGCTCAGAGGCTGGTGCCAACACAGAAATTTTGTTGGGTTTTTTTTTTGACCGTGGGGCACTTTACTCGGCACCTGGCCTGATGGCCACAGACAGGTCCCTATCTCTAAGGGGAAAATGAATCGTAGGCCAGGAGCTGGCGGGGCTCATTGAGAGGGCTTTAAACTAGGTAGGAAGGGGGACAGGGTTGAAACAAGGCTTGTTAGAGCTGCGCCAGGGGTAACAATGGCAAGGCTGGGAGACAAGGCAATGGCCCATCTGAAGTGGATCTACACTAATGCATGCAGCATGGGTAACAAACAGGAGGAGCTGGAAGCCATCCTGTGGCAGGCAGGCTACAACTTGGTTGCTGGCACAGAAATGTGGTGGGACCACTCTCATGACTGGAGTGCTGCAATGTCTGGCTATAGGCTCTTCAGAAGGGACAGGCAGCATGGAAGGAGTGGTGGTGTGGCTGTCTATATCAGAGAGAGTTTTGATGTCGTGGAACTTGAGGCTGGGAATGATAAGGTTGAGTCCCTCTGGGTTAGGATCAGCAGGAAGGCCAACAAGGCAAGCATCCTGGTGGGGGTCTGTTATAGTCCGCCAAACCAGGATAAGGAGACTGATGAGGAGGTCTGCAGGCAGCTGACAAAAGTTGCGCAATCGTCAGCACTTGTTCTTGTGGGGTACTTCAACTTCCCAGATATATACTGGAAGCACAACACAGACCAGAGAAAGCAGTCTAGGAGGTTTCTGGAGAGCTTGGAAGATAGCTTCCTGATGCAGCTGGTTAGTGAGCCTCCAGAGGAGGTGTCCCACTAGACCTTCTCTTCACAAACAGAGAAGGATTTGTGGGAGATGTGGTGATTGGAAACTGTCTTGGGCAGAGTGACCATGAAATGGTAGAGTTCTCCATTCTTGGAGAAGCCAGGAAGGGGACCAGTAAAACCACTGTATTGGACTTCCTGAGGGCTGACTTTGAACTGTTCAGGACACTGGTTGGTAGAGTCCCTTGGGAGGCAGTTCTGAAGGGCAGAGGAATCCAGGAAGGCTGAGCGCTCCTCAGGAAGAAAATCTTAATGCAGGAGAAGTCTGTCCTCAAGTGCCCAAAGATGAGCCGGCGGGGAAGAAGACTGGCCTGGCTGAACAGAGAACTGTGGCTTGAGCTTAGGAGAAGAAAGAGGGTTTATAATCTTTGGAGAAGAGGGCGGGCCACTTGGGAGGACTATAAGGATGTTGCGAGGCAGTGCAGGGACAAAATTGGAAAGGCCAAAGCTCATCTGGAGCTCAATCTGGCTACTACTGTCAAAGACAACAAAAAATGTTTTTACAAATACATCAATACAAAACGGAGGACTAAGGAGAATCTCCAGCCTTTACTGGATGTGGGGGGGAACTTAGTTACAAAAGATGAGGAAAAGGCGGAGGTGCTTAATGCCTTCTTTGCCTCAGTCTTTAGTGGCAAAACCAGTTTCTCTGTGGATACCCAGTACCCTGAACTGGTGGAAGGAGATGGGGAGCAGAATGTGGCCCTCACGATCCATGAGGAAATGGTTGGTGACCTGCTACAGCACTTGGATGTATGCAAGTCAATGGGGCCAGATGGGATCCACCCAAGGATACTGAGAGAACTGGCAGAGGAGCTGGCCAAGCAGCTTTCCATCATTTATCAGCAGTCCTGGCTATAGGGGGAGGTCCCAGCTGACTGGCGGCTAGCAAACGTGACACCCATCTACAAGAAGGGCGAGAGGGTAGACCCGGGGAACTATAGGCCTGTCAGTTTGACCTCAGTGCCAGGGAAGCTCATGGAGCAGATTATCTTGAGAGTCATCACGCGGCACCTACAGGGCAACCAGGTGATCAGGCCCAGTTAGCATGGGTTTATGAAAGGCAGGTCCTGCTTGACGAACCTCATCTCCTTCTATGACAAAGTGACGCGCTTGGTGGATGAGTGAAAGGCTGTGGAGGTGGTCTACCTTGACTTCAGTAAGGCTTTTGACACTGTTTCCCACAGCATTCTCCTCAAGAAAATGGCTGCTCATGGCTTGGACTGGTGTACACTTTGTTGGGTTAATAACTGGCTGGGCAGCCAGACCCAAAAAGTTGTGGTGAATGGAGTCAAATCCAGCTGGAGGCTGGTCACTAGTGGCGTTCCCCAGGGTTTGGTACTGGGGCCAGTCCTCCTTAATATCTTTATCAATGATATGGATGAGGGGATCGATTGCACCCTCAGTAAGTTTGCAGATGACACCAAGTTAGGTGCTTGTGTCTATCTGCTCGAGGGTAGGAAGGCTCTGCAGGAGGATCTGCATAGGCTGCACCGATGGGCTGAGGACAACTGTATGAAGTTTAACAAGGCCAAGTGCCGCGTCCTCCACCTGGGGTGCAATAACCCCAAGCAGAGCTACAGGCTGAGAGATGAGTGGTGGGAAAGCTGCCTGGCAGAGAAGGACCTGGGAGTATTGGTTGATAGTCAGCTGAATGTGAGTCAGCAGTGTGCTCAGGT